CCCCAAAACCCCAAAACCCCAAAACCCCAAAACCCCTTTACAACTATTGCGAACTGAAAATTACTAAGATTTATGGCAATTACATCTAGCAGAGCTGGTCAAAAACTTATGGTTCCAGTTTAGGCATTTCTCGCATCTTGGAAGTCTCAGCTTGCAGTCTTGAAGGCAGTAAGTCACCATTTCGACCATTTTCTTATCTTTGTTAGGAGACTGGTCTTTATAGGCATAACGTTTAAATTCTCCAAGCATCTTTCTTAAAGAGTCTATCCTTTTCTTACATTTTGAGCAGCTTGGATTTTTAAAAGTGCTGCAAGTCAGGCTGGGGTTGGATTTTTCCTGATCTTGGATCTTAGTGCTGAAGTCTCTGCATCTGTAACACCAATAGATTTCCTTCGCATCACCAACACGAGAGATTTGTGAAATCAAGCATAAAGTATCGTAGCAGGTCTTCTCCATTGAGTCTATTGCTGAGAAGATGGTGTATCTAGAGATATCGCAAGAGGATTTTGGACAGGTCGGCATTGGACATTTTACTCCTCCTTGGATTCCTTCACACAGCATCTTCTTCACCCTCTTATTTAAGCATTTAGTATGGTAGAAATGACCGCACTCATTTCTCACCTTTCCATCGAGTCAGTCTTCCTTACAAAATCCGCATTTGTGCTTGACCACCATCTTGGCGCTTGGCTTAGAGCAGAAGGCTTCTTTAAGTGGAGCGAGGGAGGAGTCCTTTTCAGGAGGAGAAGGGAGCTGGGCAGGAGAGCATGAAGGAGAGAATAAACAAGGTGAGGTGGAGGGGAGAGGTGGGTCCGGTAGAGAGGAGGTAATAGATCCATCCTCTGCATCGTTTGCTTTGAAAGTTTGAATAGGAGCTGACTTGGAGTTCTCAGATTCTTCTGTGTTTTTCCTCTTATGAGACCCACTAGGGCTTTTACTTGAGCTAACAGGAGGGAGCTCACCTTCTTCTGTTTTCTCTTTGCTTTTTTCAATCGCTTTTCTGTCCCTCTTCTTCATTTGAGTTTTAGTCTAAATTAAGATTCATTAATCTATCCATTAACATAAATTTCTGTAGAAATAGTGTACAGTGAAAATTACAGTCCCTTACCTCATTGCTTGTTTCTGAAAGAGCATTCATCAAAGTTGGACCCTTCTTTAGAGTCTGGTAAAAATTTTCGAATATAAGACATCTCTTAGATCCTTGGAGGCTAAGCTCATTGGCTAATTTCTGCCAATCTCTGAACAGACTGAAGAATTCAGGACCTGTTTCAACTTCTTGGTCCATCAACATGCCGAAGGCGATTCCATCAGCAAATTCTGAGTTAACAGTGGTCCCTTGGGATGCTGCTTTTATTTTTCAGTAAAGATTCATGACTATATAATTAATTTATTCTATCTAATTTAATTAACCAGGGGTTTTGGGGTTTTGGGGTTTTGGGGTTTTGGGG